ATCCCTTTAAATTTAGCAACACAACACACCAAGCAACCCTGACTTTAAAATATCAAAGATTCATGAATAATATACAGTCAAATAACCATTTACACAAACACCCACACTCTGTTGCACACTGCTATACCAATTTTCAGCCCCTGTAATGCTCTATATAGGAAACAAATGATCAGATGCAAACATATATACGCTCAGGAAGTTAAATAACTCAGTCACCATTATAGACACTCCCACGCATGCAGACACACACTCACAAATGCACACGACACATCATAATCATCACAGGAGCCCCGCCACCCCACAAAAACAGGATGTTTGGCACAAGTAGACTCCATGACAACCTGTGTTCTGTGTTCACCATTGTCCTCCTCATTGTATCCTTTTCTTTTTTTTCCCCTCAGGTCTCCAGCAGCACAAGAAAGGCAAGGAGCTCTACTGGTTCTAACGAGCCCTTCAGTCACAGTGACCAGCCATTACCAGATCCAATTAGTCCCTGGACCTACTTTGCTATTGTCGCAGCAGGTCCCTTTATCCCCCACCCCCCTCCACCATACACACTTTGCATCCCCATCTACCCACCCCCTTCACTCTGTTTCTAGCCTCCCCTGCCAGTATACAGCCTTGCTCCAGGTCGACGTGTGTGCACCATGGAGATAAAGCAAAGCGAAAGAGGGAGCGAGAGAGGGAGAGTGTCCGAACTGTCTGTAATCTGTGCTGTTGCTCTCTTTTTCTCAGCTCTTTTGGTCTTCCTCTCCTGTCACTGCACAGACCTTGGCAAGGTGGGAGCCACAGTGACCTGTTTGGACTGAGAAAGACAGGATCACAGAGGACAGAGAGATGGAAGGATGAATGGAGGGACAGAGGGATGAATAGCAGAGAGTAGGGATTTCCTCCAATGTCCCTGGTTATCTCTGTCTCATGCTCTGTGTTGGTACAGTGGTTTTCATTATCCACTTATCTGCATTTCACAAATGCAACATTCAGTGATAAACAAGAGCAGCAATTATGGCAGTTTAAGCTCTGTGACTGTTATCATGAGGCCTTTTGTGTTTGTTATTATATAATACTGCTCTCTGAAATAAAGTGTTTATATTTATTGGTGTTTATGTGCATTTCTAAAATATTAGGTTGGCCAGTGTTCTGAATTTTTTTGTGTCAAGCTGATTGTGCTTTATGTATATATATATTTTAAAAGAGGTGATAAAGCTGACCATACCAGATCTATCATCTATCTTATGTGAAGAATATCTCTCGCATCTACCACGATTTGTTTGCTCAGAACTATCAGGTAAAACTGAACTTTCAATTTGATGCTGTTCCATTTTAGTCCTTTTGTTCTCTGTCATTCGTGGAAATTTTGAATTTTGGCTTTCTTAATATTTGTGGGATTATTTTTTCCTTTTTTTCGGTGTGCTCATTTTTTCGTGTCCAAGAATGTGATGTCAATAAATGTTTTTATGGTTCATTGTCACATCTCATAAATGTTTACCTTGAACGATATTAGCAACATGAATATAAGAGAGTAATATTTCCAGATAATAAATACTAATATTAGCCTGAAGAAATTTGGCTCCATGGCAAGACTCCAGGTGTCAGGTAACATATCTGTGATGAAGGCTTTTTGGTCTGTTTGTAATTCTGCACACTTGTTGGGTGCCCTGACATTTTCATAGCTGTCTGATTCCCAGATACAGTAGCAGAGCCAGATGTGATCAAGGTTACGCTGTGCACCTCGTCTTATTTAAAAGGCCTTCCATTTGGATTCCTGCTTGCATTCACACTTTGTCACCTATAAAGTGGGAATGAGTGGCAAATGCCAGCCACGTGTAACAAGAGATGAAGCAAGCCATCCCAGCTATGCACCAAATGTTGCTGTGTTATTGATCTGATAATCAGATTATGCCCTAAGGTATGCCAGTCTTGGCCACCGTCACAATTTAGTGGCTGTTATGTGTGACCCCTCGCCCCCCTAAGAGAGCAGCCAACTATGTGATTGGCTTTAATCTGAGGAAACATGTAGAGTAATGAAATTAAAAGACTTTACCAGGGATAGCTTTCCTCTCAGCTTCCCATTCCAACCACCTTACAGCCTTTTCATGCTAGTATTGTTGCTGGCACTAGCGTCTTTTTTTTACCCTCCAGGATCTAATCCATAGTAAGTATGCAGCCACAGATATTGTCACATTACAGTACATGGCTGTCAATAAATCCCACATAATGTGAAGCAGCACATTCAAGTGTAGTTTGTATGAGGAAGGCATTGCACAAATTGACTCACTATGGATAACACCAAGATTAAAATTAAAATTGATTTAACCTAAAGTTGTAGCTTAATTTGATTAATTACTGATTCGTTAGTTTTATTACTGACAGAAAGTGGATGTGGTTTGGTGGTTTCCATGTTTGTTAGTAAACTGAAATATTCTACAACCAAATGAAATAGTGACATCTCCTGGTGTGTTTTATAGCACTGCAAAGCCAACAACAAATAAAGGTTTTACAGGGCACACTTACAACAGGTTGAGCTGCTGTAATGCAGCCAAGATACAGTTTATGGTGCTTTTACAGCAACACTAACTAAAACTAGCTATGAAAACACAAAATTAAGAATTAAAAAATAGTATGAGCTTCTTCTTTGAGCGAATAAATTGCTTTGCATATTTATCCATGACTACTGGAGAGCACCTGTCAGATCAACTGTCAAAACCATGAACTACTTTAGCTAATTTTTTATAACTATTTGACCAGTATTATCTCTTAGTACAGAGGTCACTGTTGATTACTTGGTTGATTATATATAGCTTTATCAATAGCCACTAACGAGCCCAATGCAAAAAAAACCCCCTTGCATTTGCTCCAGCTATATAATCATTACACTGAAAAGATATTTTCATAAATGTGCACAGACTGTCTGTTAATAAAAACAATACATAATCATGTGTAAAAAACATGGTACAGAAATTTGAGAACAACATGTTCAGGACAACATCTCAACATATGGGAGCAAAGGTTAGTGGCCGACATTACTGAGCACTTTCTGAGAACCACTGATTGCCTCACTTGCACTATGCATTGGTTTCAGTAAGAGTTTATAATAAGACAAACCCTATGCTGACCCAGATTAGTCATATGATGGCTCATTGGTGGTAGTCACATGATACAGGTTCCAGAGTCAAATGGGACATTATATACAAATGCAAGTTTACTACATGTTTGTGATCCAAATCTTCAACATTTATTTTGATAATCATATGATTCACTCAGTGATCAACTGTCATCCTCCCTTCTTTAAATAAGCTGGAATCTTATAACCTGATTACTGAGTGTAAAAGACAGTAAACTTGAGTTTTGTGCTTTACTCATCTGAATTTCTTAAACATGTGACTTTCCTGCTGTTTTAACTTTTAATATCTAACTGATACAATCATCATGTGCAGGGTAAAGGAGACAAATAAAAATGAAGCAAGAAACACATGTGATGTAGCATAAACAAGTGGTAGCAGAAATCACAAAACACACACAAAACTTTTTTTCTTCACTTTTAATTTTTCCAGATAAGTCCCTAGACCCATTTACCATAACATGTTCACATGCTTTACTTCCACATTTTTCCCGAAACAAGCAGACAAAAATGTGCAAACTTTGATTTGTGAACTTCCATCCTCGTAATTGCTGTTGTGCTGACTCACGGTGAACCTGTCACTTGTTATGCATCCACGCTATGCTGCACCTGACCACTTCTGCTGGACTTCACAATAAAAACAAATCCTTTTAATACTGTGTGAGATTAATTTATCTAGCTGGGAGACATGCCACCCCTCAGGAAAAAAATAATGACATTTATTGATTAAAATAAAATAAAATAAACGCATAAAAATCAATAAAATCAACCTTCCTAATAATAAAAAATATAATAAAAAGATAACTTTATTATCTAAGAGATGCAGATGTTTATCTGTTCTGTATTACAATCTTCATGTATACGATCGTCTATTGTGAATAGTTTTTATGACTCTACACATTTGTCTGGTTCCCATACAAACAGCTGTAGTTAGAGGATTATGACTTTCAGGCTTTAATTTTAAATATATTTTACAGAGTAGTATTACTTTCACTTAAGTGAAAAAACAAACAAAAACGAAACAAAAACTGTGTTCTTCTACCACTAATGAACTGTCCTCTCATGCCTTACATTAGCCACTGCTGAAAATATATAAAGCATTATAATACTACTGCAAAGCTGCACTGTAGCAATAGTTATGCATTTCTATCATAGAAAGAAAACAGCATAATGTTTTGTATTGATCCAGAGGTATTAGAATTCAAACTATTTACACTTTTCTGACAGAAATAACCACAATCTTGTGAACAAAATCCTGATATCTGTGCTTTCAGTTGGGATGTCAGATGCATGACATAAACTAAAATAAGAGTTCCTTGAAATCTG